AAAAAAAAACAAAAAAGTTTTTCTAGGTCATGTGTACAATTAATAAATTAATTTTAAAGTTTTTTTACCAATGACCCAGTAGATGAACAGCGTGTTCAGGTATTGGTACCGATACGTATTTTTGACCGAGTACTTGAACATCCCATGTTAATTAAATGGGAGAGAGGTTATGTTAGCTGCCTTCTACTGATTTCTATTTTTATTATGTATTGCAAATAACCAAATCGAAAAATTTCTTTCTAATTTCATTGGTAACATATTATGAAAACTATAACGACTGGCTTGACATACTATTATTATTAATTAACAGTGATTTCAATCATTTTTATGTGTTCGAGTACTGGGTATAGGTAAAACCTAATGGTACCAGTACCTGAACAGTCTCACAAGCCACCTCATACAAGTTGCACGAATAAATAATTTTTTTCTCGTTGAGAATAGAGACTTACTGAAATATAAATTTTGTTTTATCTAAAGAACGATCAAAGGATGTCAGAAAAAATTTTTTTTTTATCCACTTAAATTGAAAATAGTTTATTCAAGCTGTTCAATCTACTGGTGCAATTTTAGGAAGTGTTCACGTACTGGTGCTTTTACCTTATAACGTTTTATGGTTTAACTTTTGAGCACTGACGAGTTGAACACAGTTAAATTAACCGTGATGCAGTAGGCGGACGTTTTCGTGCACGGTTAGTACAACTCACATTAACTCGCTGTCTTGTTGGGAGTCCCCGCACACCGGCTCCCCCCCCCCCAAAAATAACGACCAAATCTGTACGAATGAAAATGATTATATTTTTTATAAATACCTGGCGAATTTGGTTTTTTTGTTGCGCATCTTTCCTTTGTACTAAAATATCTAAAAACGTTTTTTGAATCTAACTCATAATGTAAGTACCAAAAAATTTTGTTAAAAGGCAACCTAACCTTGTTCTCTCATAAAAGACCGTGTTCAACTGTCAATACTAAATATTTTCTCTTGAAAGTTTCTCTAGTGAAAAATCCGAAAAAATTCATGTGCACTGCTGGTACGCTCTAATTTAGCATACATTTATGTGCACAACTGTACATTTTAAACTTTTCTTACTAACATCCATAATTACGAATTTATTTTTTTAATTGATGCAACCTATGATTTTTTTTTTCCAAAAAAAAAAAAACAGCGAGATGACCAAAGAAAATATATATCATCCTTGGTAGCACAGTTAATGCAATTCTTATGCAATTCTTACGCAAAGTTTCGTTTAGTAAATAAATTGCATAAGACGATGCTCGGTCGGTTTCTGCAGAATTTCATGAATCTGCTACTAGGTACAGGTGCAAGACACTTGCCCAAGAAGTGCACAAGATTTGCATTAAGTTACTTGCATTAATTTACGTTACTGGAATACACTCGCAAGTGCATCAGACGTGCACAAGAAGTGCACACAGACGCATGTGCGCGACACTTGCGCAAGAAGTGCGTCAGACTTGCATAAAGTTGCTTGCATTAAATTTTTCATTTTAGTGCACTCGCAAGTGTATCAGACGTACACAAGAAGTGCACAGAGGCATGTTGGCACAACGCTTGCGCAAGAAGTGCGTCAGACGTGTGTTGAGTTACTTGCATTAATGTATTGTACTTTAATGTACTTGCAAGTGTATCAAACGTGCACAAAAAGTGCACAGAGGTGCATGTGCATGATGCTTTTGCACAAGAAGTGCACAACACGTGCATAAAGTTACTTAAAATAATTTTTTTACTTTAACGCACTCACAAGTGCATCAAACGTGCACAAGAAGTGCAAAAGAGCGCGTACGCACGACATTTATGCAAGAAGTACATCAGACTTGCAAAAAGTTACTTGCATTGATTTTTTCAGCTTGGTGCACTTACAAGTCAAATCTGCTGTTCAAATGAAATATTTTTACTTTTTTTTAAACGAACAGAACTTTTTGTATACAGGAAAATAATATTCTACTCACATATTTGCGATAATTGTGGCTTTGCGTGCCTAATACAAGAAGTTATTTTTTAAGCACGTGGGCTATCTACTATCTACGTAAGTACTATTTTTATGATATTCTTATAAAATTTATACATGATTCTTACACATTTTAAAATATTCCTCATTTTTTCATGATCGATGAAACTATTATAAAATATATACACGCGTATATTAGAATGCAATCAATAAATATTTTTCTACATTTATAAATTGAAACTCATAAACACGATCCCAGACATTATTTCATTCAAATTTCGGCGGGTGGCGCTCTAGAGAATATGGCGACCAACGCCACATTGGCGGACGTGATAAGCTATGGGGTGTGTTCCAGTAATGCTTTCCGACAACTCACCGACAACTTAATTATGTCTTATGATATCTTGCGTCATGTTTAAGTTGTCGGTAAGTTGTCGGAGAGCGCTACTGGAACACACGGATGAAGTGTCGCAACTGTATAAACTGTGGTGTGGTACTGACCAACCGACTGATCACAAAAACATGTTTTCATGAGTTCGAATTACTCAGCTGAACGAACCTGAAACTTGAGAGAGGTAAGAAGATAAAAGGTGTGCAAAATGAAATGTATGACGCGTAATCAAGTCAGTTCAATGACCCACTTATTATTCAGTTTTGGTAAAGGGCTGCTGAATTAAAGGTAAGTAAACTATTGGTATGGGGCAACGTGTGTCTAGAACTGACTTTGAGTGGAGTTATACCGAGGAACCTCATGCAAGCCGTCGAAAAAAGATACTTGGTGAGAATAAAAAAGGCATTGTTTTTATAGTAAAAAACAACTACTTATTACCTAAATTTATATTTACCTCACGTCGTATAAAATATGAACACGTGTAGTATTTATTAGAAATCAACTTTTGCTTTTCAGAAAAGTATCCCCAAATCAAGAAATTGTTTGGCTATGATCCAAAATTCAAGTGGATTGTAACCTGCATGGTGTTAGTGCAATATGCATCAATGTATATTGTAAAAGACTTGAACTATTCAGTGCTGTTTATATTAGCTTATTGCTTTGGTGGTCCAATTAATCACTCGCTAATGCTTGGTACTCCTTTTATTTATTTAATTAAAAACTAATTTTTTAAGTGGAATATTTCGTAGTTACATATCGTATCCTTGTTTTTCTGTAGTAAAATTATATTCTTAGAACCCTAACGTATGATTCAAAAATACGAATACAAAATTCAGTATTACTGTATCGAAATATTTATGAAAACTTGTGTATTTTTTCTTGTTGACAGTGGCTACCACTTGTAGCTATTAATACTTAACGTTGTGTCATCCTGTAATGTATATTCAGTCAAAGGTACATTATTCTACATTTTGTTTAATTGTTTCTGTATGTTGTAGCTTTAATTTTTGAATGTGATAGACCGTTCGAAGAGAGTTACTTATGTAATAAAATATAATGCACCTAGAGAGCTAGCTTACGAATGGACATTTCTTAACCTCCGAACGTGGTGCGTATACTAGTTTCCGTACCTCTGTGGCCGTAAAGGGCGTAGTCCCGTGAAGCGCAATAGAGCGTGCAAGATAAAATTTTCCCCATAAGCTAATGTGTTAAGTCTATCCTGCTGCGCTATAGGTGTATCTTAATCACGTTTGCGTAGCGGACGGTATATACATGTCGCATATTGATCGCTTTAGGGTCGCAGGTGTGAAAGTACAATTTATTGTAACTTGGATTATTGAGTGTCTTTACATTAGATTACTTCATTAAATACCTGGAACAAGGTTAAGGGAAATGAAATTTATTAGGTCAGGTAGATCATAAAATATTAAACATGTTTTTTCTCCATATAAAATAAATACATAAAACCCAACATTTATCAGCACTGTCATTAATGGTGTATACATTTTAAACATAATGATTTTACTACAAAGTTTTCACTTGAAGTGTTAGTAAGTGTAAAAAAAAAATTTTATGCTTTGATTTATCTGGCATGTTCAAAATTTTTTAGCTGTTCACGAAATTTCTCACAACCTTGCATTTGGGCACTCAAGACCACTAGCAAATAAGTTATTTGGATTTTTTGCTAATTTACCTATTTGCATTCCCATGTCAATCAGTTTTAAAAAATATCATCTTGAACACCATAAGGTTCATATATTTTCAAGAAATTTATATCCATTTTTTCTTTTTATACTTGCCTGACACAAATTTATTTATTTTTTTTCTAGTATCAAGGAGATGAAAAATTGGATACAGATTTACCAACATTGTTGGAAGCTAAATTGTTTTGTAACACATTTGGCAAATTATGCTGGGTGATTCTCCAGCCATTGTTTTATTCCATCAGACCATTAGTAACATATCCCAAGCCTCCGACATTCCTTGAATTCATTAATTTATTAATTCAGCTTGCTTTTGATGCATACGTATGGTATTATTTTGGTAAGTATAAGTATTATTTCTAATTCTGATGGCAAAGAACCAATAAGTAATACTCTAAAATCTTCACAGGTGGAAAAGTTTTAGTTTATTTTATGGTCGGCGCTTTGTTGGCTATGGGACTACATCCTGTTGCAGGTCACTTTATTTCTGAACATTATATGTACAAAAAAGGATATGAAACATATAGTTATTATGGGCCTTTGAATTACATAACATTCAATGTTGGATATCATAATGAACACCATGACTTCCCTGCAGTACCAGGTTCTAGACTTCCTGAAGTAAATTTTAAATTGTTTTGTCTTATAAACATTTGATAAATGAGTATGTAATAATTAATAACACTCAATTGTTTTTAGGTTAAAAGAATTGCTTCCGAATTTTATAATGATTTACCACAACACCATTCTTGGATATCCGTCATTTGGGACTTCATTTTGGATCCTGAAATTGGTCCATATGCTCGTGTGAAACGCCTGAATCGAGGACTATCTACATAAGTTTTTTTACTGTTACATGAAAATTAATAAAAGTGATGGAGTTGTACAAAAAAAAAATGCTGGAGGGGTTGGTACTTACATGCTTGATTTTAGATGACTAAAGTATTCACACCTTTCAGTCGGTAGCTAAGATGTATTTACATGTAACTGACCAAATAAATTACTTTTTTACACAACAGTGATGGATTGAATATTTTTTTCCGCTAAAAAGCCATTAGGATTCCAAAAGGTCACGTAACTCTCGCGATATATGTAGCCAACTGAGGGAAAATTAAGACAGGCCTTATAGGTGCAATTCTATTTTTTGCAATAGTGTGCGGAAAATGGATGTTTTCCGCACTGGTATTAGTGTGAAAAATCGATTTTCCCACATAGTGTGCGGCAAAGGTTTTTCCGCACAGTTTGCGGAAAAGGTGTGTGGCAAAGGTTTTTGTCGCACAGTGTGTGGAAAAAGTGTGCGGAAAAGGTTTTGCCACACACCGGAAAAAATTTTGCTTCACACTGGAAATCAAAATTCAAACCTATTTTGTACCTATTTTCCTCACACATTGCGAAAAAACTTGTACGCAACTCGTGCGGGACGATTTCCCGCACTCGTGTGATAGACTCGTGCGGGAACTCGTCTTTTCCGCACTTGTTACGAAAATAACTATTTCCTNTCAAAGAAATACATATATAAATAATTCAAAGAAATAATTCAATTTTATTAACCTCGGTTGGGTTATTTATAATTTTAACATTGAGGCCACTGGAGCCACCTTAATGTATGATTATTAACTACCCAAATCGCTGAGTTAAATGAGGCTTAGGTTTACAGCTTGTTATTTAGGGCACCCTGGAAAATACTTAGAGTTTCCTGTATTTTTGATAAAATTATGTTGATACTATTACAGCTATATTACACGACTTATTGTAAGTAGCTGTTTTATTAAACAATACGTTAATCAGTAAACTTTTTCTCAGTAAATATTTTATATGCCTCGCGTACGCGAAAGCTGTTTAACACGTATGAGTCCTATAGGAGTCATACAGTGGGTCGAGGGACAGTGTGGCAGATAGGGTCACGTGGTGCTGATTGGCTCTGCCATTTTCAGCACCACACACTATTTTCCAGTGCACGCAAAATAATTTCGAGCATAAGGAGATCAAGTACATGTGCTTATAGAGTTCAAATCACTTTGAATTCCCACTGCACAAGTATTTGGACTTTTATTTCAATCGATTGGCATTATTTCATTTTCAACAACAAATTTNAATATTTAAAGGGACCAGTAAGCGCCCCGAGTTGTGCAGGATTTGGTGCTTGTACTATTATTTCATTTGTTTAAATAAATAAAGGAGACAGTAAGCGCCCCAGGTTGTGCGGGGATCGGCACTTGCGTTATTATATTTATTTTGAATAAATAAAGGGTCCAGTAAACGCCCCAGGTTGTGCGGGGATCGGCACTTGCGTTATTATATTTATTTTGAATATATAAAAGGTCCAGTAAACGTCCCAGGTTGTGCGGGGATCAACGCTTGCATTATTATTTTATTCATTATAAATAAATAAAGGGACCAGTTAGCGCTCCAGATTGTTCGGAGATCGGCGCTTGCGTTATCACTTTATTCATCATAAATAAACAAAAAGATCAGTAAGCACCCAAAGTTGTGTAGGAGTCGGTGCTTGCGTTATTATTTTATTAATTAAAAATAATTAAAGGCACCAGTAAGCGACCAAGGTTATGCGGGAAATGACGCTTGCGTTGTTATTTTATTCATTATTATAAAATAAGAGGACCAGAAAGCGCCCAGGGTTGTGTGGTGATTGGTGCTTGCGTTATCATTTCATTTATTTTAAATAAAGGGAAGGACCAGATATCGCTTCAGGTTGTGTGGGGAATGGTGCTTGCGTTATTATTAAAATTCTAATTAAAAAATGAGACCAGTAAGCCCCCTGGATCGTGTAGGGATTAATACTTGTGTTATTCTTTTATTCATTTTAAATCAATTAAAGGACCATGAAGCACTTCAGTTTGTGCGGGGATTGACGCTTGCGTTTTTGTTTTATTTATTTTCATTAAGTAAAAGGACCAGAAAGCGCTTTAAATTGTGTGGGAATCGGTGCTTGCATTATAATTTAAATCTTAAATCAATAAAGGTACCAGTTAGCGCCCTGAGTCATGTGGGAATTGGTGATTGTGTTATTATTTCATTTACTTCAAATAAATAACGGGACCAGAAAAGCCCCGGATCGTGTGGGGTTTGGTGTTCGCAATATTTTTCTTACTAACATCCATAATTACGAATTTATTTTTTTAATTGATGCAACCTATGATTTTTTTTTTCCAAAAAAAAAAAAA